CCCAGTCCACCCCAGTGCCCCCAGTCTCACCTAGGGCCCCCAGCCCAGTGCCCCCAGTTGAGCCCAGTGCCCCCAGCCCAGTGGCTCCAGTTCAGCCCAGTGCCCCCAGCCCGGTGTGCCCAGTTCAGCCCAGTGTTCCCAGCAGCTCCCAGTCCATCCCAGTACCCCCAGTCCAGTGCTCCCAGTTCAGGCCAGTGCCCCCAGCAGCTCCCAGTCCACCCCAGTGCCCCCAGTCTCACCTAGTGCCCCCAGTTCAGCCCAGTGCTCCCACTCCAGTGCCCCCATGTCAGGCCAGTGTTCCCAGCAGCTCCCAGTCCACCCCAGTGCCCCCAGTCTCACCTAGTGCCCCCAGTTCAGCCCAGTGCTCCCACTCCAGTGCCCCCATGTCAGGCCAGTGTTCCCAGCAGCTCCCAGTCCACCCCAGTGCCCCCAGTCTCACCTAGTGCCCCCAGTTCAGCCCAGTGCTCCCACTCCAGTGCCCCCATGTCAGGCCAGTGTTCCCAGCAGCTCCCAGTCCACCCCAGTGCCCCCAGTCTCACCTAGTGCCCCCAGTTCAGCCCAGTGCTCCCACTCCAGTGCCCCCATGTCAGGCCAGTGTTCCCAGCAGCTCCCAGTCCACCCCAGTGCCCCCAGTCTCACCTAAGGCCCCCAGCCCAGAGCAACCAGTTCAGCCCAGTGCTCCCACTCCAGTGCCCCCAGTTCAGCCCAGTGCTCCCACTCCAGTGCCCCCAGTTCAGCCCAGTGCTCCCACTCCAGTGCCCCCAGTTCAGCCCAGTGCTCCCACTCCAGTGCCCCCAGTTCAGCCCAGTGCTCCCACTCCAGTGCCCCCAGTTCAGCCCAGTGCTCCCACTCCAGTGCCCCCAGTTCAGCCCAGTGCTCCCACTCCAGTGCCCCCAGTTCAGCCCAGTGCTCCCACTCCAGTGCCCCCAGTTCAGCCCAGTGCTCCCACTCCAGTGCCCCCATGTCAGGCCAGTGTTCCCAGCAGCTCCCAGTCCACCCCAGTGCCCCCACTCCAGTGCCCCCAGCCCTCCCAGTCCAGCCCAGTGACCCCACTCCACTCCAGTGCTCCCAGTCCAGCCCAGTGTCCCCAGTTCTGCCCAGTGCTCCCAGCCCTCCCAGTCCAGCCGTGCCCCCAGTCTCACCTAGTGCCCCCAACCCAGTGCTCCCAGCCCATCGCCCTCAGTTCAGACCAGTGCCCCCACTCCAGTACCCCCAGTTTAATCTAGTGCCCCCAGCCCAGTGCTCCCAGTTCCACCCAGTGCTCCCACCCTACACCAGTACCCCCAGCCCTGCGCCTCCAGTTCAGTCCAGTGCTCCCAGTCCAGCCCAGTGCTCCCAGTCCAGCCCAGTGTCCCCAGTCTGAACCAGTGACCCCAGCCCATCGCCCCCAGTCCTGCCCAGCGCTCCCAGTCCTGCCCAGTGTCTCCAGTCTGACCCAGTGCCCCCACCCCAGTGCTCCCAGTAACACCAGTGCAGGTTTGGGGGGCGCCGAGGGGTTCCGGAGCTTCCTCAAATCAGCCCTGAAACCCCTCAAACTTTGGCATTTCAAATAAAAAAAAATAAATTAAGGCTGAAAATGAAATAAACCCAGAAAATAAACGAACTGTGAAAATTAAATAAACCAAATCTGACATTTTTTTATATAAAACCAGATATAACATATATTTTATATATATATATATGGGTTTATTAACACTAATTTTCTAGTTA